GTTGCCTCAGTGAAGAATATGTAGTTTTCTGAGCTTTTGCTTTGTAAAATTCTCAACAGCTTCATGTGTTCAAGACTCTTGAAAGCTTGGTTTCTCAATGCTAGAAATGAGATGCTAAATAACCTTGTCATAACAGAAAATTGAATTGGGTTTTTACTTGGTTTAAAGAATCATTAGCATCAATTGGTTCTGACCTTGTAAGGAATCATCACTTGTGCTGATTTTAGAATTTATGCAAGGACCTCTAGGCTTGGCCTCATCCAGGAAATAAAATGTCCCAATATAGACAAGGGTTAAAAATGAATTATTGAAAATTAACATGAAAAATCAAAGGAGGAAACATAATCATCAAAACTTTCAAATACCCTACATTTTTTTCCATTTGGTAGTCAGTAAGGAGATGGCCGAGTCCACAGTTTGTTCTCATAGAGATTACTATCCTTATGTGGAATTCTCTTACTGAGAAGTAGATGACAAAAAAGAGATAGTTGGGCCAGTATACAGTTCTACTGGAGTATGAAAAAACAGAGAATGTGACTACTCACAGCCCTGGAGGTTTTATTTCTCTGGTAACTATGAAGATATTTTTCCCTAGCATGTGATTAAGGAAAAAGAACTTTTGATTCCATTCTACATATTATTGGAATTCAATAAAGTAGTAACAGCAAGGGGTACTAAAATAAAATCTAAAGATTTATAGAGCAATGGCTGAACTACCTATTCTGCTATTTCACAGTGACCAGTACACCAAAAAATACCTTCTGCAGAAGTTTATGGCTGCAGAACTATGAGTCACTCTCCAAGTGAATAGTGAATGTCTCCAACAAGGCACTCTTGAAATTACATTTGGACCTTCTTTCTTCCTCAGTTGGCAAGTTGGAAGAAGAAGAGAGGGAGAGAGGGAGGGAGAGAGAGAACATGAGAGAGGGAGTAAGACCACTAGAAAACCTAAGAGTAGTTAGCTGACTCATATTACTGTCATTCTAGTGAACATAATTTCAAACCTTATGTAGCAGAACTACAGGTTGTGCCTTAAGGAGTATAGGGAATGTGGGGAAGCCAAGGAGAAGAGTAAAAGTGCTACATACAGGTCTTATTTCTCTGTTTCAACAAGAGTAATTTTTCTTCTATCTGTTTTATTTATTTGAGAAAGAATTCTCACATTTTTAAAAAAGTGGGAAAAACACTACCCTAGACGAAACTACTAAAATCAAATGGTGCTTAGCCCTAGAGAGAACTTAGGAAAGAGTCTTTGGCATAACTTCTGGATTGGCAGTTGATGTTCCAGTTTGGGCCCCAAAGCACACAGGCTGGTTCTGTGTGGAATTAACTAAACTCTGCTAGGCCAGTGTTTCTCTAGTGGTCTCAACTTCTCTGTACCATAAAATGCACATCTGAAGGAAGAGCATATACTTCCTAAGGGTTACAGCTGCAACTAGGAAGAGAAAAGGAACAGACACAAAACAGAACAGTTACAGCTGCAACTAGGAATAGAAAGTGGATGAAATAAGTCTGCCAAGCAAATATGTAAGCTCCTCTAGAGTGAATGTCTTCTGGACCTCTCTGGCACACAGGACATGATTTCTATACCTGGGCACCTCACCAGGTGGCTGCAGAATGGATGGCAGTAAACAGAAGGTTATTGGGAAGAGAAAAGATATGTGTGGGGCAGAGCAGTACAAGGTTAAATTGTTGTAACCTGGTCTAAAACAAAGTGAGGCTGTCCACCTATCCATCTTTACACTAGGTCAATTCATGGAGTTCTAGAAGTAACTTGAGAAAGAAGAATCCAAGGAAGGCTGATTACAATGTTGAATGTCAAAATGTTCATGAGATAACCATAGGACACATTAAGTTCATAGGGCTTGTTTCCCCCATACCTGGAATGCTAACTTTGGCAATTTCAGTGGAGAAATGTATGAAGGAGGGGGCAGGTGGAAAACTCCAAATATCTAAACTGTTCCTGAGCTAGCCATAGCTCTAATGGCCAGGTTTAGATATTACTGCTCGCTCTTCTCCATCCTCTCAATCCCTGTTCAGCCTTATGAACCTAAAAATATATGTTGTACTCCAGGGAACAATATACCTCAGCAACATATGAAATCTGTTTTTTCTTATTCTAAATGGAAACAGCCACTCTACAACACCCCTTTGACCACTCAAGCATCAATGTATCAAGTAAGTTATCTTGTCCTTAAACCTTTATAATGCATCTCTCCCTGTTTTGATCAAACATTACCAGGTAAGGTAGGAACTGCCTCACTTCCTCTCCAGACCAACTCAGGGGTACCAGGTATCCCTTCTTCATGATCCTAGTCAGAACAGCTTCATTAATAATTATTGCACCAATGCACCCACCTCCCACTATCAGAGTTGGCCTTCTTAGATCCAGAAACAAAAGAGGTAAAATTTATTTAGATAAATGATCATATGTGCCTTTTGCCTCGTTGCAGCAGAGAGAGCAACATGGGTCATCAACAGCTATACTGGAGCCATCCGCGAAAATTCGGCCAGTGTTCTCGTTCTTGCCGTGTCTGTTCAAACTGGCACGGCCTGATCCGGAAGTACGGCCTTAATATGTGCCGCCAGTGTTTCCGTCAGTACGTGAAGGATATAGGCTTCATTAAGTTGGACTAAGTGAACTTCTTTCAATGGGTCATTCAAGACAAGACATCTACCTTATTGCAGAATGCCTAGCCCTTTGTACATAAAATAAAATTTAAACATTCAAAAAAAATGATCATATGTGGTTGTAGATGTTATACATCCATGGATCTGGAGACAGTGAACACCAGACATGAGTTCCCACTATCTGGGCAGATGATACTGTACAAGAACAATGATGCTTGAATTAACTCTTCTAAGTTAACAGACTTTTCTTTTCATCCTCAGCTTCCCAAGATCTTCAGAAATTCTCTATTCAAAATTTATTTTCTCCCAGTCTTTCCCTCAAGCCACTGTTCTAAGACATATTTACAAATGAGGGGATAGAGCATTTCTCTTCCTCTCAACCTTAAGCCTGCATGGAGGCTGGTCCCTCAAGTTGAAGACCCCCCCCCAAAAAAAAAAAAAACAACATAGTGCAGCTGGTGAAGACTTAGCTAACATATAGATTTACTCTGTTCTCCAGTGTTTACATTCTAGGGTTGAAGAGCTCCCAGCTTTCTGGGATGATTTCTTTTTGTTTAGGTACCATCCCGACACCATTAGTTCCAATTGCTGAACAAGTACAGTCTGAGTCACATCTGTCTCTCTTTAATGTAACTAGCAGGATTAGAAGGCCAGGGACTTCAGTTGAAAGTCAAACCTAATGGAGGGTCATTACTGAGATAGAAACACCCAGTGACTCTCCTTGCCTTGCACTTGGCTTGCCCTCTTTCTGGACTCTCAACATCTTCTCAGTGGGCTGGCTCAGCAATGCAAGCCTCTGGGCAAGAAGGATTCCTCACAGGAGGGAGGGGCTGCTGTCTCTATAGTGATTTAGGAAGGAACTCTCTTTGGAGACTGTTGATGGGTATAGGGTGGAAGGATTCAGCTACCCAGCTATAGGGAGGAGATCTCCAGTGTCCCCACATCAGTGAAAACTCCTTTACCATGATGGAGAGAGGAATGTGAGGAGGTCAGACAAGATGAAGTGATTATCTCTCCAGCATCCTGGATCTTCGCCTATTTTCTTCAGATGAAATTCTCTACATCATCCTCCCCAGTTTTAATCCCTCCCCTTTCCACCCTCACCCTACCCTGTATCCATACCTCCTGGCCACTGGGTCCATCACCCGAGAGCCTCCTCCCTTTTCTCCTCCCCTGCAGTTCTTTCTGTTTTTCACTGGCATCTGGCCGGGCAGTTACCACCCTCCCCCTCACTCGCTCCACAACCCCTTGCTCTGCAGAGGTCCTATTCCTATCCCCTCCCCCATCCCTTGCCCAGCTCTGACAAGGCAGGAGACAGGAGGATGCATTCCTTCAGTCCCTTCACAGCCAGCTGCTCTCCCTCCTCTGGGACCCTAGGCTCTGAGCTCTGACTGCCTCCCTGGTCTCCTTACAAACTGTCCCCTACCACCCCATTAACCATCAGCAGCCTTCAAGAAAGCTGAGGTACCCACACAACCCTGACCTACATAGCCAGGTCCAGGGCAGCAGGAGGGGCTCTTCCCTAAGGCCCTTCATCACTGTACCCCCCCCCCCCCCCAATTTTGAGTTCCAGACTGTGGCTAAGGTGCTAGGCATGCTACCCCACCCAAAATCTGGGAAAATAAATGTTTAGCCCAGGAAAGCTTTGGGTTTTTCATGCATCCTTCTTCCCAAGTATCTTGATCTTTCTTTTTGCCTAACCACCCCCACGCCTCTGCTCACGTTTGGGTTTCTTTCCCCCACTCTGCCACCGTTAAGGATATTGCCATTCTCGGGCCTAATCTACCCAGTGTTATTTTGCTCCAAGAAGAAGCCCCCTTCCTTGCCTATGCTCTCCTCAGCAGCCTCACCCAGGCCCCCTTCCCTAGCCACTTGGATAACTGCCTCGAATAGGGGAGCGGAAATATTATTTGCTTGCAGCAGTTTGGGGAATTGCACTGGCCACCCAACCCTCCAGACATACATACACAAACACCCGACACACGCCCTGATTGTCTCACTCCGCCCCCAACACACACTGACTGACACAGATACACACATACGCGGGAACGCAGAACCAGACACCAATAGAGATGCACACACCCAGACACACACGGACAGCAATACATCCAGACTCCGGGCGGCTATAACGGACCACAACCCCAGGGCACACGCAGACACACTCGACAGTATAAAGAAGAGTGCATTCCCGGCACACCCACGACCCACGGAGACACAGATGTTCAGACACGGGGGTACTGGCACCCAATGGCGACTGAAACCCCGGGTTCCAAACAAAGCCGACAGACTTCCTCTGCCCCCCAAGCCGCTCAAAACCCCCGCCCCGGTTGCTGCCCACCTCCCCTGGCGCCGCCTCCTTCCTCACTCACCGTCCTGGGAGAGGTTGGCCTCGCCAGGCGCCCAGCAGCAGGCGAAGAGCAGGAGCAGAGGGAGAGCGGAAGAGGCCCCCATTGTGCTTCCCGGCCGGCTCCCTGCTGGGCTCGAGCGAGCCTCGGTCCCCTGGGGCTGGGGCTGGGGCTAGGAAGGAAGTAGACTAAGATGCAGAAAGGGCGCCCCGGAGCCACTAGAACCCCAGGTCCGAGGCGGGGGGGACCGGGAGGGAGCCGGCACTGCTGCAGTCACTGGGATTAAATAGGATGCTCGGAACAAACCATTCGGTTGGAGGTGGAGGGGGGGGCTGGTCGCTGTGGGGGGTGGCAAAGGGGCGGGCTGCCGCATTCCCCACTCCCCCTTGTCCCCTCGCCCCCTCCCTGCAGCCAAGGCGCCTTCCACCCTCACCTCTGGGAGCTCTGCCAGCCTGGCTTGGGTGTGGAGCTCAGAGAGGGAGCTGCTTTAGCGGCAGCGCCCGGTGCGCACCCCTCTTAGGTTTGGGGTGGAGGGAGGGAGCTTGGTAGGTCCCTGGGCCAGCTGGCGAGAGCGGCCACTGCAGGCCTAGGCAAGGGTGTGCCCAGTAGCCTCCAAAGGTTTGCTCTTCCCCGTTTAGCCACTGGGGATTCCCAAGAGTCCTGGGCGTCCCCTATCAACAATGTGCCCAGGGACTTCTCCCCACTGGGTAACCAGTTTCCTTGACCGTTCTCCTCAATACTAACATCCCTAATTCTTCTAACCCAAGAGCTCCTGCATGGAGGCCAGCAACAATTTGTGGCCTCAGGCGGTTTCCGTGAAAGACATCTTTCAGTAAACACACAAGTCAACATTTCCCTTCATCCCTGTCACAGAAATTACCCCCTTCCCCCAAAATAGTGATTCCCCTTAATACTCTTGCTCAACCCAATGGCCTACAAAGCAACCCAGTTTCCCCCTTAATATTTCCGATGCCCCACCTCTACTCCATGGACTTTTCTCCAATATTTTTCTTTTTCCTTAATCTTTCAGAGGCTCTTGTTCTTGCTTCTCAAGTTTTAGTGAATAAGATTCCTGGGTCAGTGGTCTGATTTAGAGACCCTCAGGAAGCTTCCCCTTTAAGGACCTGTGCATCTGTTTAATGTAGTTCTTGTCCCTGATCCAGATATAATATGGATGAGAGGCAGGGTGTCCATATTTGCTCTTGGCTGAATAGTTCCAAATCTCTGGGGTTCCTATTTTCTCTAGAAGGTTTCCTAGTATCGCTAGAAGATCGTTGGTACATCTTAGAAAGGGATTCTTCTGAGTCAATTTGTTCAAACTCAGATTTGGGGAATCAACTTCTAAATTTTAGAATCTCTGAATCAAAGAATTTTACATTTATAAGCATTGTTATAAAATATGTGTTTCAACCCCTTATTATTCAGGTGCAACTTAGGTCCAAAGGGCTTTAACTGACCTACCCAAGGTTGTACTGACAGTTAATAGTAGAAAACACAATATCAGTTAGGGCATGGAATGATAAGGTTTTCAAGGTGCTTTCCACCCTCTTTGGTCATATTTTGTCCCTAGATGAGGGATTTGGCTCCATGTCTTCCAACTCCTGGACCAGCCCCCTTCTGTGCTGATGACTGGGCCACACCCTACTAATCCTTAAAATTTAGATTATCTTTCTCCTTTTCAGCCCTTGGTGATGGATGCAAGCAGAAGGGTCTGGGAAGTACTTTGTAATCATTAAAGCTTTGCATAAATGTTAGTCACTGATGGACAGGGCCCAGAAAGAATATTCTCCAGGGACATCATTCACATTAGTCAGATGCTGCCCCACTGTTTTTCCCTCAGTGTTTCTAGAGCTTATCCATGGTTTCTGCAAAAAGAGCTCTGCCTGCCTCTTGAATATTTCTTGAGTATATGGGTTGTTTTAAAAAATTATTGTCAGGACAGTTTTTGACTACCTTGGGCTGCCTGTCTTCCCAGCCTTGACAGTTGCCAGTGACTCCAAATTCTTCCTCCTCCATGGGTTCTCTTGCGTCTTGAAATCTCTGAGAGACAAAGATGAAGGTATTAGTGTGATTGAGAGATGTAGAGGGCTGGGTGTAAGAGAGAGGAGATGATGGTCTATGGGGTGGAGGAGGGGGATATAATAAGGAAACTGGAGTAGCTGACAAAAGTTGGACCAAGTTGGCAGGAATTTAGCCATGCAGAAAATAGCTAGGAGCAGGTGTGTTTTCAAAAAAAGGATGGGACTTCAGAGGGGAAGGATAAGTCTACCTTAGTTAAAGGATCTTTTTTTATTTCATTAAAAAAATTTTTATTTAATTATTTTTCAACTACAGTATTCCGTCTTTTATTCCCATCCCAGCCCATCCCCCCTGTCCCCCACCTCCCTCCCATTTCCACCCCCCTTAGTTGTTGTCCGTGTGTCCTTTATACTAGTTCCTAGTTAAAGGATCTTAATGGATAAAAAGTATTATCTTTGGAGCTGGAAGAAACTTTAGAGATCATGTAAGTGAGTTTAAGAGAGGACAGGTTAGTGTTGGGGGGGAGTGAGACTGGAGATGAGTGGGATGGGGGTGGCAGGATGTGGGATTAGGTCCCAAGTGCTTCTAGCTGTTTTTCTTTTCTTTCTTGTCTGCTGTTCTGCAGTGGTCCCCTTCTGCTTGTCCTTTAATTCTCTAATGATTCTGCTGGTCCAGCCCCGCCTTGTACTGGTACTGCCTGGGAGGAGAACTAAGTGTGGGAGGAGAGGAGGGGAGTTGTTTTGGAGACAGAGTATTAAGAAGAAGCACATAAGAGTCTGGAATGCTCCTGTCTCCCTTTCCCTTTTATACATCATCAGCATTAGTTTGGCAGTACTTTAGGCCCTGGGAGTAGGAAGCAGTCGTTGGCTTTTAGAATCATAGAATAAAAGCGTATTAGAGGTATAAGAGACCTTCAACATTACCTAATTAATATGCCTTGCTGAACAGATGATGAAAATGAAATTCAGAGAAGTTAAGTGACTTTCTGTGTTCATACAGCTGTACAGTAAAAGGTTACCAGTATTTCAGAGGGGAGGCACACACTTCCCTTGGAGGCAGGAGAAATAAGTAGAAACAATCCAAGTACTCCCCAGCAGCATACAATCTGAGAAATTCCTCACTCCTGCGTAGCTCAGAGTGAAAGGGTAGTTTCTCTTACAGATGTGGATGTCTACGTTGGAATAACTCTTTATCTGTAATCATTCTAACGTCCTTTGTACATGTGCACCCAGCACCGCACAGAAACCCTATTCACTAGGAATAGAGTTTTATAAAGAAGACTGACCAACAAGGATTCTCCCTATCATAAAAATAGGTAAAATAAAAGTATATTGGGTTGTGATCTCTATGGTTACTTACCCCTCTAAAATGCTGTGGCATGCAATATGTGTTTCCCAGAGACTTGCACAAAGTCTGGAGTGGGTTGTCTGTGGGATTAAAGAATTGGTAGCCACAGTGATAATGGAGGGTTGTGGCACAGAAGGGGAATGAAAGGGAAGGCGAGTTTTGGCTCCTAGATGCCCCTGTCCACTCAGCAACAGCCTGGGTCACTGGGGGTGTGGAATGTGAAGCTGGCACTGTGCTGAGCTCCTCAGCTGTGTGGGCCCTCGGCATTCCTTTCCCCATGCTGCTCCTGTAGAGGGAGAAGAGGGAACTCAGCCTGAGTTGGGTGAATACAATATATTTATCTGGAAGGGTGATGACAACACCTGTAGGAAAAAAAATTCAGAAGACTTGGCTCAGTTCTACATTGCACTGTAACCCTTGTTGTTTGTCTGATCTTTTCTTTACCAGTAAATTCTACATAGATTTTCACATTGTTTTCCTTTTTTATTTTTCACCTAACTAAACCAGTACTCCTTATTCAGCTTCTCACTTCTACTATCCAGTTTTAATTAACCCCATCCTTAATAAGCTCTGTATGCATTTCAATTCTAACCTTAATAGAATTCTAATTTAATCTGTCACAAACGCTAACTACTAACCCTAATACAAAACCCAATTTAATTATCAATTTTAACCACTATCTTAATTCTAATCTGTTCTAAGACAGTAACTAGGACAGCAACTTGCACATAATAAAAATTATCAAAACTACCATTTATTGAGAACCTATTGTATGCTGACTTTGCACTGGGTAGTTTACATACATACTATCTTATTTAGGTACCTGAAAATATCCTAATGTAATGGGCATTATTAGCTGCCTTACAACTAGAGATAATATAATTTAACCAGATTATGTAATTTGTAAAGGCTAAATCCAAATCTGCTATTTACTTTCTGCTTGACTAGAAAGCCTGTGCTCATCCCTTTTTCTGCCAATAAATACTTCTTGGTCATCTTTCTAAAATCTTAACTAATCCTGACTGGAATGATTTCTAACATACTGCATTTTTGAAAGTATATTGTTAGATTTTAAGAAATAAAGAGTAGTATAAGTAAAAATCAAATAAACACAAAACAAGAGGCCAAATTTCCCTGCCCAGAAACCCTATTGACACTTTAAAACATTAAAGTAATGTATACAAATACATTACTTTAAATATATATACCTGCATTACTTTAAAGTTAAAACAATCAAACTAGAAGAAACAAAACCAAAATCAGAAGCCTTCTTCTCCTTCCCAGACTGCCCATACTACACATTGCCAGGGGCATCATTCAATTTGGTGTTGTACAACACAGCAGTCCTGCCTCCCATGGCATAAGAAAGCAGGTACAGTCAAGGTAAATACCAGTGGAACCACTTAGTATATGTACATGACTTAGACATGAAGATCACTGGACATTTTGAATTTAGAATTAACAATAACTATTAAAGACCAAGTTTCGACCCTTGGCTGGTGTAGCTCAGTGGATTGAGCACGGGCCTGCGAACCAAAAGATTGCAGTTTGATTCCCCATCAGGACAGATGCCTGGGTTGCAGGCCAGTTCCCAGCAGGGGATGCACCAGAAGCAACCATACATTGATATTTCTCTCCTTCCCTTGCCTTCTAAAAAGACAAATAAATAAAATTTTTTAAAAAGACCAATTTTCTATATACTAAGCTCTTTACATGTATTATATCTTTTAATATTTACAAGCTCTCTGGTCTGTATACATTTCCCTTATTTTACAGATGAGGATAGCAAGGACCGGAGAAGTCAAGTCATTGGCACAATAGCACAAAGATGGTGAAAGAGAAACCACAGTTTCAAATACAGATTTGTCTTACTCCAAAGCCTAAATTTTTAACCACTAGACTTTGCCAAAAAGGC